AAAAACCTAAAAAGCGGAATTAGGGTTTACCTGCGAGATCGCTTTGGTTTAATCTCGTCTAAGCTTGAACGCATAAAAAAAAAGACAGATGCTGAAGGTAGCTCATTGAACCTCACGATCTTCTGTCATATATCCCTAAACACCAATGGGCCTAGACGTGAATAATGAATTGTTACTGATTTAGAAAGCCTAGACGTCTATATATAGGCTACGATAGAAATCCTAAGGAGAAATAAGGACCGGGTTTCCAATGGGCCTAGGATTCATATGTTCAACACATAACAAACATCTTATAGCCCATTAATAATAAGTTAGTCCATTAAAAATTAATTATTGATCTCTTGAGTCTTATCTTAAAATTATATCTAAGCTCTTTATTATTATATGCTTAATAATCTCACAACATTTAAGATTACTGATGTCCATCAATTAAATAAATTACTGACAATTATATTAAATTGACTTCTTTTATTCCTTGAATTCTTACCACTTAACTTATTTATCATGTCGGATAATTAAAGCCACCTACATGGTTTGACATAGACAAAACTTATGAGCTTCCTTAAGAGGACATCATCAGCCCATTTAAATATCAGGACGTAGTTTCCTTTAATAATTAATTTTTACCATACAAATAATATTGTCTCCCAATTCACCGAGCTTATTGACTGAATATGAATCTCACTCTTTAATGAATTAAAATGATAAACATTATATGCACGTAACAAGTCGCCCTACCTCTTCGTACTAGTAATGGAGGCTTTTTCTGGAATGCTTAATGGCATGGTTAATGAAGGGCAATTTCGGTTCCATTGGAGATGTCAGAAAGAGAGCATCACACACCCCTGTTTCGCGGATGACCTCCTCATTTTCTACAAAGGGGAGGTTAGATCAGTATCTTTGATAAAGGACTGCTAACCCGACTCTGTTAATCTGTTACTAAGCCTGCTCACCTCTGATCCGTCTGTTAGCTCCAGACCAGAATCAACCTCTGCAATCTCTGCAACTGGAGGAGAGTCATTTTATTCCACATTGGCAAGAATATAGATTCTTTTCCGGATAAGCCGACGCAGCTCTTGCTTGCTGCCCAACATATAATTATGTGGTAGAGCCTGGTCAACTGCCCGACCACTTAAATATTTCGAGATTAAGAGTATAAGTAATCATAATAATCATGAGATATTTATTATCTTATAGAATCAGTAAAAGATAATAATCTTATTATGGGTCTGTTCAATACACAAAGTGTACTAGTGCAATAATCTGATACATCAAATAGTCTCCTATAATCAAGACAGACTATGCCAGAATGTTACATTACAATTATACTGATGATGTGTCCAATTCTATCGAGGATTGTAAACCTATATTCATATTACACAAGGATCCGATAATCTAGTTTTCTGTGCATAAACTGAACTCTACACACTAGATTATCTATAATTTAAAACATAAGACACACACACATATCATATATTAAATATAATGCAAACAATTTACCTACATAGATTCTCAATAAAATGGAAAAAACAAATTTCTTTTTATTAATAAAACAAGTTTCACTACAAAAAAAAGTTTTTAGTATACAAATCTATCACCAGTCTGGAAAGATGTTTTTCCAACGAAGCATGAAAGTGAAGATCATCTTGACAAAATGTTCGAAAGCAAAAGTCAAGGTAATATTTTTTTGAAAATCGCATGAATCATTACTTACAACTTGGTGTACAAAATGTTTTAAGTGATGACACATATTGCGTGAACATGGAAAAAAATTTCAATCCAAGAGAGATAACAGAAGACAAATTCAAGAAGTTTGAGCAAAAAGAAAATTGAAACACAAGGGTCAAGAAGAAAATTGAAAAAATAAAGATGATTTGTAAGTGTAAGAAATTTCATCAGAATTCCCACACCGCAAATGAAATAACGTTGAAGATTTTTGCAATTGAAGGAGGTGGTGCTCAAGTCCATGAAGTTTGTAATAATTCCACGAAACTCCTCTATCATGAAGTGATTTGCAAAATAAGGATTTGGGGGTGTAAACTCAAGTTTAAGAGGGGGGTTGTTGAAAAATAAACTTGCTTTAGAGTTTTATTATATTATTAAAATATGTTAATTTTGTTGTGTTAGTGGGCAAGGGATACAAGTAGGGCATGTTTGTTTCAAGGATTAGATGATATTATAGGGTGTAATAGAAGGAAATAATACGTGGGGTCCACCTTATACCTTATTTGTTTGACATTTTAAACTTAGTACTACTTTTTTAATCGTAATACCGATCCGATTTGAACAGTGTCATAAATGTCTTGTACATGGTATTAATGAATACTACCTATCCGATTGTATTATCTTCCCGATACAAATGAAAAGACGGTATAAGAGAATAAAATGACCCAAATGCCTTTCTCTGTTAAGAGTTCACATAGAAAAAATTTATTTTGAATTTTTTTTTATATTATGTTTAAGCGTACGGTGTCACTGATTTTGTTAATTTTTTTTTAAAAAATTATTTTAAATTTTTTCCTTATATTATGTTTAAGCGTACGGTATCATCGATTTTTAAAAAAAATATTTTTTTACGATATCACCAATTCATTACATCAGATTTTTTTTTATATTATCCAGAATAATTTGTGTATAGATTGTTATATCATATATTATACCAAATATTGTGCAAAAGCGTTACACAAACGAAATAATGAAATAGATGATGTTAAGAGTAAAATGATATATTTGTTATTTAAGATGTGATAAAATAGATGGTTATTTGTGGAACCCACTATAATACCTGTTGATCAAACAAACATAAGAGGGGATTGAAATATTTTTCTATTACCGGTAATAATTTCCATTAATATTGAAAATGTAAGAAATATATTTCCAATACCATCCATATTTAATCCCCCAAACAAACATGCCCATAGTGGAAGACTATTATTAGTGGGTGTCAACTCCCAAAGTAATGGTGCTCTAATATTTTAGAAGTTACAAGAGTTAATTGGTATAGTGGCGTGTGAATGTAATGTTAGGAGTTATAAGTCTGACCTCTATAAATAGAATATATAGTCTAGTATTAGAAATAAGTAGAGTTGAGTAGAAGTTGAAGAGTTCAAAATAAGTGTGTATTTTATAATAAACATTAATGATTTTTATAATCAACATTATCTAGTCCACTTAACTCTAATAAAATGGTATCAAAACGATTTTTTAACCGAAATAGCATTGGAGTAATTCCAACAAGAAGGTAGTGATAAAACATTAGAATATAATTAGAAATGCTAGTAAATTTTGATTGACTGGCCTTAGGAACCGATTTAGGAAAAGGAAAGGAAAAGACAAGCCCAATAAGTTTTAAGAGGCAAAGATCCATCAAACAAAATGGGCTCAAGATAAGAATCAATCCTTTCGTCTTATTTGTCCGGCGCTTTTCGGTTGGGGCTACTTTGTAACATTTTCGTTTGTAACATTTTCGCAGCAGAAGGAAGGCTATGCACCGATACTCTTCTCAAATAACATAATAACATACATATAATGGCAACATTAGGGTTTTTGCATAATGTATCCTTAATTGGGGAAGTTTGAGGAGAAGTTATATTATTTTCACCTCTTCTGATATAGTGAAAGATAGATGCAATGAACAAGGGTATTTAGTCTAGTTTATGTGAACCTCAACTAATCATTCACTCAGTTTTGTCAAAAGTAGGCCAACAAAGATAGAATCAAATCAATTCTCGAAATGTCTTTTTGGATATTCTTTAATGTCCTGGCTATTCACGGAATGTGAGAAGCAAATGATTAATCATTTGTTTTTGGAAAAAATTGAAGAATTTATTAGAAATCCTACAAGATCCGTTTGTTTGTTTTTTTCTGTGACAGATGGTCAGAACTTCATCTGGATTCAAATCCTGCTGAGAGACCCACTAGAGATTAGAAATTGTTGAAGAAATAACAAGATCTTTTTTTTTTCCCTTTTAGGCGATTAGAAAATAAAAGTCGGTATTAAAGTATTCATTAAGAATAAATTTTTTATGGTCTGAATCCAAAAGGTTGTCAAGATTCGAACTCAGTATATTTGAATTTACTATTCATCTTTGTGACCACTTGAATTATTCTTGTAATCGGACTTTTTCGGTTGCATCTCAACGATGATTCCCCTAATCAAGCCTTCCCGTCCAAGCAGAAAGATTCCCAAACTAGACAACCCATTTAGCCTAACTCAGGATGAACTAAATGTACACAAAAAGCCAGTTCCAGAAAAACAAAAAAAGAACTACACTCAAAAAGCATGTACTCAGAGAACCGTCATGCAAGATGTTACAAAAACGTGGACAAAGGGATGTAAATAATGACTTGATTTGATGCCATTGGCCACTTCATTCCAGAAGGGAACAATATAACAATGATGTCAAAACCCTAGTGATGCAGACATGCTAATAAAAATGATAGTATAATAAATCAAAAGGAATAATAAAAATAAACTATTAATTTGTGCAAAAATATCCATGTTTATTTTACTCGTATTCTTTGTGAATTAACAGACTTAAGGTAAAAATCTAAATCGATATTTATACGCAAATTAACGATTTATTTTTCTTATCACTTTTCGTTCTTTATACCATTCTTTCTGGCCGCTTAAATAAAATAATTTTCTCAATTGAACAACATTTACTCGTTTAATATAATACTAAAATTCTAGTCACCATACTGCATTATTATTTATTCTTCGTCACCTAGACTGACAAAAAAGAAATCAAAAGGCCCAAAGACTTGCACAATGTTTGCTTTTTTGCCACCAGATACAGAAACTACAGTCAAGAAAAGATAGCTACATATGGAAAAGCTTCAACACACAGACACACTCAGAGAGAGAGAGAGAGAGAGAGAGAGAGAGAAGAGCTAGCCTCTCTTTCTTCATGTAGTTATTATAATTACACATGAATACTTGGAAAGTTTTTATTACAAAGACTAAATGGCATGGATAATTTGGGGTTAGGGTTAGTAAGCTAGCGTCTCCTAGCAGCTGTTTCTCGCTGTGCATTAAAGAAGACAGCAGCAACAGGGAGGCCAAGGTCGTTCTCAGCTGCGAACCTTCGGGTGTTGAAATGATCCCTTGAATCAGGTGTTTGAACTGTCTGTCTGCTTTTCTGCTTGAAGAGAACAAACACAAACCTGTGGATGCCTATGTTAGGCCTTGGGATCTCATAGCTTACCACCTCCCTTCCTGTTAAATTTCAATGTCACAACAACAAAATAATCAGTCCTCTCTCTCTCTCTCTCTCTCTCAAAAGAGTGGATGAACTTACCAAATGTAGCATCTGTTGTCCCTGGAATATCTGTGACAATCCTGCAAAAAAAAAAAAAGTTCCAGCTGTGAGTTTCTATAGATAAAGTTTATTGATTGGCTTGTTCCTATAATGCTTTACCTTCTCATTTTAACACTTATTCTCTAAGAGTTTCTCATTATTATCATTTGTCATTCTATATATAGCTAGCTAGGAAGAGGTTCTATGGAATCTTAAATATATACACAAAAGATCATAGCCCTATTTCTGGGGGTACTGCAAAAATTTGGAGCACAATAAGGCTACCATACATATGCCCTATGTCATACTCCTACTTTGGTTATCATATGAGTCACGGATACATTTTCTCTGTACGAGCAAAACTCAGTCAATTACATCTTTTTTTTTTTTAAAACCCTAAAACACGAGAGTTTGCTCTCTTATATGTACATTCATGGACTTCTAGATAAATTACATGTACTTAACTTTTTAATCTGACTCCAGGGCAAGCCAACACAGGTGTGACCTCTGCTTCAGCATTGAGTGGGTGAGCACCAAAAGTGTTTAGTCCTTATGTGAGCTAGAGTAGGCAACATGTTTTAGGAAAATTCAGGCCACAAGTACAAAGTCAGATACTTTTAAGTCAAGAGATCCACCCTTGAGACACTTTTAGTAAGTTTAAAAGGTTCATAAAATTCACAATTGATAAAAATATTTTTCGTAAAAAAGAAAATTTAAAAATTTCATCATATCCCACACCACCACTACCGCCCACCCCCACCCTACAACTACCCGGTAGTGAAGTACACCACAATTAACTAAAAACTCAATATATTTTGTTATATATTGTGGATAAAAGTTCACTATTATATAACAGCTAAAATTTTTAGTTTACTGCTAGGTGTGTAGTTAATGATTAAATAATAATATAATTGATAAAAAAAATGTAATGATATAATCTTTCCACTACCATGATAAATTAAAATGACATTAATACCTTAAACATTGATCAAATCATAGAAAGAAATACAAAACATTATCGAGCTCTATAAAAGAACGTAGATCACTACCAAAAAATAAAAAAAAAATTAGACAAGACTAACACTAATGAACCCAGAATTGAAAACATCTCATTTTGATCTGATTTTCTTACTGCTGTGTGTATCTCCCTTGAGATTTGGCATGGAAAGCAAAAAAATAGAAAATAAAAATGGATTTTCTGTTTGGGAACGTTTTCCTTCCATTGTATCTCTCTGCGTCATCTTCTACCCGAAGCTCTCTCCACCTTCCTTCTCCGTTGTCCTGGCCGAAGCTTTCTTCAGATCACCCGGGTATAGTCCTTCCTTCTGATCTCTCTCTCTCTCTCTATATATATATATATATATAATATTTTACTCAAATTCTTCCTATAGATCTAGAGTCAATGAATAGCAGAAACCCTAGCTTTAATCGATCAGGTCCTAATCTTTATCTGCAAAGTATAAGATATGATGGGTAATATTGTTATATTAAAAAAAGAAAAAAATTATTTTGTATCTCTCGCTTTAAAAGTTCATTTGAGTTGGTTTTCAAGATATTTTGCTTGCATTAATCTAGCTTGATTTATCAAAGTGAACCAAAGCAATTTTAGGGTATACCAGTGCAGGTGCTCCCTCAAATAAGGATCACTAGGGCCCGGAACATCTGGATCTGTCACGACCTGTGTTGCAGAACAGAAAAGGACTTGGTTAACAGGAAGCAAAATGAATTAATACCGAGCTTTTTAGGGTAGATAGATTCAAAAAGAATATAAAGAACAAAGAAAAAAATGAAGTTCTTGGAATTGGTATATATATGAAAACTACCAGTGTGAAGGAACTTCTCAGATCACCTCCTTGAATCTCAACCCTTGGTTTGCTGTTCACTGCAGAAGGATAGAGCTCTTGACCATTGAAGACTTGCCTGTTATTGTAAGTAACAGACATATTGATGGTTGGAATGAAAAAGTCGAGAACGTCTCCTATCACTCTCCCAATAATCAGAGGCTCCGACATTCTTGCCATAGATAGATAGATATATATATATAGAGAGAGAGAGAGAGAGAGAGTTTTTATATGTTGAATAAGAAAATTCAGGAGTGGTTTTTCATTGGAGAACGAAGTAGAAGCCTCCATTTTATAGTGCTGTTTGGTACTCTGAAAATTTACAGTGAACCTAGTGAGCCTTAAAATATAGAAGGACGAAAAATTGTAGATTGTGTGACATCAAGAAAGAGATCAACAAACTTAGGTGTAAGACTTCCTTTTTTTTCTCCATCAAGAAAGGGATACCTGAGTACCGTTGGATAGAAAGAAAAGTTAGAACAAAAAAAGGAGATCAAGGGATGTGATGTAATATGAAGCAAAATTCCAATTTTAAACTGAACAAAAGTGGAATCAAAATTATTGTCATATCGGCGCCACATCATTTGATTTTATTTATTTTTCTTTCAATGGCCATAGTGTCTAGATTAGGTAATGCACACTTTAATTTATTTCTTTTCAATTCGGTCAATGATAAATCATTCACACCAAGATAAAAGTTCGTGTGAGATAAATTTCTTATAAAATAACCTAAAAAATTTGATATTTATTTTGATATATTGGACATTGTCACATGGCTATTAGTGGTGTTTCACATGGTACCATTCTGCTTCCTGGCCCTCTCTCCTTCACTCCTCATTGGGTCCTTTGGAATTGGTTTCAAGTACGGGTATCTATGCGCCAGATTACTCACGGGTCTCGTTACCTGACCTAAAAAAAAATCAGTCAGAAACTCAATCGGCCTAATAGTTGGCCCGCTTGAGCCCAAACTCAATATCTTTAAAAAGAGGGCTTGGGTTTGTCCTCAAACACATTACCCGGCCCAAAATGCAGCCCAAGAGCCCGTCCGCCAAGCCCAACTCGTCCACCCTTCATTTGAAAAAAAATTATACTTTTAGAACATTAAATTTGAAACTTTGAAATAAGTTTCACAATGTTAGAATTTGAGGTTGTAAAAATTTAGATATTATAAATAATGTATTATTTTATTTTTCATGTATTAAGCATACAAGTTTTAAAAAGTAGAGTAATGCAAATGATAGATAAGTAAGTATGTTTCAACCTAATTGAGATGTATTCATTCTATTGGATGTAGTTCATCCCTTAATTTTATTTTTATCTATTTTTACTCAATTTTTGATTCATAAATAAGTAACATAAATATTCATTATTTTTAAATGAAGTTATATATAAAAAAATTCGCAAGCAAACCTGCCACAAAGGCTCGCCCAATAGGCTCGTCAATTGCCTACGTGTAGCCTACCCCTGCCCGAAGTCTAGCCTAGTCAGCTCGATAATTCACTTGAATAAGGGTTTAGGCCTACACTATCCATGCCGATCCAAAAAAAAAAATTGTTGGCCTAGACCGACCTGACCCATGGATACTCGTAGTACCATTCAACTCCCTGGCCCTCTCTCCTTCAGTCCTCATTGGGTCCTTTGGAATTGGTTCCAAGCTGGTTGGCTATGCAGCAACCTAACTAACATTAATGGAAGAAGGGAATTTTTCTGTCCCTTTAAAGTCGGGAAAAAAAAAACTATTCATTATAGTGTAATGTTAAATGCATTTAAAAATTAAACTTGATAGTTTCAACTAGTGAATAGATAATGAGTTCCAATAAATACAGAAGGTTATAATAAAATTAATGATTGTAATTATCAAGTTTGATTTTTAAATTTATTTTTTAAATTCATGTAACATTGCTCTACGTTATATTAAAGGTTGTCCAGACCAAGCAAGCTGTCAGCTTTTTTTTTGCTCCCTGCTTTAACAAAAAAGCTAAAAACAAGGCACTTAAGATTTCTGCTTGAACATTCCAAAAGTGACAAGTAGAATCCATCTTTTACAAGTTAGGGTTTTGCCAAGCAGAAATTTTTGAATGGTTCAACCTGCCAAAAGTGACAAGTAGAATCCATCTATTACAATTTAGGGTTTTGACAAGCAGAAATTTTTGAACGGTTCAGCCTTCCAAAACTGGTAATGGAACCCATCCTTTGAATTTAGGGTGACAACCCACCACAAAATGGTTGAATAAATTCCTGTTAGAACATTAGTACATATATATATTTAAGATAATCATAGAATATATATATTTGATTATATAGTTTCAGAGATTCTTCATGAATGGGGCACGCTGCTCAGGGTATAAAAGGACCCCACCACTCACATGCAATAGCCAATGGTTGTGAGTGCTCAGCAGTCATCTCAACTAAAGAAGAGATTCAGACAAGTACTTGAACTGCTAATACTAGAAATGGGCTTCTAAATCTAGACACTAAAGTACTTTTCTTTTATTCCTTTATCATTATCTTCATTTTATTCCAGTAAGAAACCACACCACGTTTCATCTAACTTTTGCTTAAGTCTTTGCAATAATCCCCCCTTTTCCCTAATGCTTATTAAAAGTTCCCATTTCCAGATTATTTATATTTCACATCTTTAAGCTTCAAAGTGAACGGTTGCTTTTACACGAAGATTATAATATTACAATTTTTTAAGATTAAATTATAATTTTTTTTAAAACTCATTCAACATGAATAATCTCACTCAATTATAACTTCATGATGGGACTTTTCTGAAATGCTCCATGATGAAGACACGTGTTCTCGGTATTACCAAAACACTGTTGCTAAGATCAAGCACCATCGGCGCATAAAGGTCCTCGCCCCCGAGGTACTCGTCATATAGGATCATGGCATTCAGTACGTTTTACAACCAACACGTAGCCTCGGTCTGATATGGTACCTCGGTCGGTATCCCTCCCTCGGTTCCGAGATGAGCCTTTCCTCGGTGCCGAGGTGTATCCCGTCCTGGACGCCTCCTCTACTCCAGGATAAGCTATTGACGTACAGGTCATTAACCTAGGCTAGTCTAGGCTATTCATCATGACCTCGTCTTATACAATTAGTGTCAGAACGTACTGGAATGCAGGGGCCACAGCCAATGGGTGATGGACGCGTGGCGTATGATATCACATCGAAGACAGAGAAACCGCATGCCGTTGCTGACACGCGACTTGGGAAAGCAAACTATTAATTACATCATTCCCTTGATGAGACCGCATTCAATGCGGTAAGGCTCGGAAATGAAAGGCAATAAATGCTTCTAATACAGAGCATTTATTGCATCCTCCCCAAGAGGAGTACATTGTACCGTCGGCATCCCGATGACCCAGCATTGATTGCTCGGGACCCCGAGCAGTTAAGAAGAGAAGACATTCCTCATCAGAATCAGTGCGCACACTGCCTGTACCTAATGATCACCCACTGACTACACTGACAACAATCATGAGCTTTTGAGGTATAAATACTCCTTACAAAAGGCAAGACGGGGATGCAACAAAAAACTCTTTACTACAATACTCACTCAGTGTTTTCTCCTTCCTCTCTCTTTCTAAAAGACTGACTAGATCGTCGGAGGGGATACGCCGGAAAACACTCCGGCGCCCTTCTAACTTGTTCTTCTTTATTCCAGGAACCTCTTTCAGCCTTACTGGATCGTTCTCCCGCTTCCCCAGGGTCTCCCGTTGCCGTTCCAGGTTACCACCGGACCTCGCAGGCTATTCCAAGCAGCGTGGTTGGTCACTCAACTGGCTCACTCGAGTTCACCAAGGGAGAGATCTGTTCTCATTTTTTATATTGTGCAGGATCTTGCACGCACAATCTAGCGCCGTTTGTGGGAAATGACTAGTTTTCCTAGTTTTTTCTCTATAAAGAACAGTGACCATGGTGAACACTCGACAGAAAGGGAAAGGACCCCACCAAAGGAGTCTCGAGTTACAAGCTCCCTGTCATCACGGAGGGAGGGATCATACCAATACGAATAAAAGTGTCTCTACTCCGTCAAGAGGGGTTACCCCTCAAACCAGTATGGGAATCAGGTCAGGGGGATCAGCCCCCTTGGCTCGTCAGCTGGCGGAGGTGATTGAAGAAAAGTTTGGCGATAGATTACGACAGCTGGAAAAGGACAATGTAAACGTCCTAAGCCAGCTCAACGAGTTTGCCACCTCTGGCGAAGGATCGAGGGATTCATTCCTTTCTCGTGGGCTTCCCGCCTGGGAGGCGGAAACAAAGGATCTAAGAAACCACCTAAACAACAAAGCAGAAAGCTCTAGGGCCCCAAAGCGACCCAGAGCCGGCGAGCATCATCATGACAACCATTCAAGGAAAGTAAGGTCATTGGCCCTGGACGACCTCCAGCGAGGTTTTTCTAGACGGAGGAAGGGAGATGAATCCGAGGAGGACTCAACCCAATCCACACGACGCCCAGGAAATGAGGGGCTTACCGATGAACTCAAGGACTTCAGAAGGCATCCCGTCAAGGAAGAAATTGATCTCAGAGCCCAGTTAGACTCCAGGAGAAAGGGTAAGGCTGTCCAGGATGAGACCGAGGACGAAGTCATACAAACACCCTTTACGAGGGAGATCGGTGAGATGGAGGTTTCAAGAAAGTTTGTCATGCCGCGGTTCAAAATTTATGACGGGCGGTCCGATCCCGAAGCCCATGTCAGGCAATACAAGCAGATGATGTCCCTCTATCATACGGACCAACGGTTTCTCTGCCGAGTGTTTCCTATGAGCTTGGGGGACTCTACGATGAAGTGGTTCGAGACGCTTCCCCCCAACAGTATTGGGTCCTGGAAGGAATTGACTAAGCAGTTCCTGGCTCGATTCATTACGGGGAGTAAGAGCCCCAAAGACATTGGATCATTGCTGACCCTCAGAAGGAGGGAATTCGAGACTCTTCGCTAGTACGCCATCCGATAGTGGGAAGAGGTTAATGAGGTAGAAGGCTGCTCGAAGGTCATGGCAGTAGCATCGTTCCGGCTCGGCTTGGCAAGGGACACGGACCTGTACCGATCCTTGACCAAGAAGACCCCCTCGGATATGGGGGAGCTAATGGCCCGGATAAACAAATACTCTAGGATTGAGGACGAGATGGGAAGTAGCAAAGGCCGAGCCCTCCAATCTAA